GTCCAGCTACTCGGAGGCTGAGGCAGGAGAATGGCATGAACCTGGGAGGCGAAGCTTGCAGTGAGCTGAGATCCGGCCACTGCACTCCAGCCTGGGCGGCAGAGCGAGACTCCGTCTCAAAAAAAAAAAAAAAAAAAAAATCTTCACGTAACTTCCTCATTTTTGTGTATCCCCTTTCAGGCTTTGCTACCGGTAAACATGTTGCTACATTTAAAATTAATAGTTGCATACTGGGTGGGTCTAAAGGTAGTAGTGGGGTCTTCTCTTTTTTCTTTGTTTTTCTTTTCTTTTTTCTTTTTCTTTTTTTCTGTATTCTAGAACTTTCCTTCCAGTGTCCCAGTCTGTATAAGACAGGGGTCAGCAAACTGCAGCCCCCTGGCTGGCTTTCTGTTTTTGTAAATAAAGTTTGTAGGGTTTTGTTTTGTTTTGTTTTTGAGACAGGGTCTCGCTCTGTCGCCCAGGCTGGAGTGCAGTGGTGCGATCTCAGCCACTGCAACCTCCACCTCACAGGTTTCAAGTGATTCTCCTCCCTCAGCCTCCTGAGTAGCTGGGGCTACAGGTGTCCACCACCACGTTTGGCTAATTTTTTTTTTTTTTTTTTTTTTGAGACGGAGTCTCGCTCTGTCGCCCGGGCTGGAGTGCAGTGGCCGGATCTCAGCTCACTGCAAGCTCCGCCTCCCGGGTTCACGCCTTTCTCCTGCCTCAGCCTCCCGAGTAGCTGGGACTACAGGCGCCCGCCACCTCGCCCGGCTAGTTTTTGTATTTTTAGTAGAGATGGGGTTTCACTGTGTTAGCCAGGATGGTCTCAATCTCCTGACCTCGTGATCCGCCCGTCTCGCCTCCCAAAGTGCAGGGATTACAGGCTTGAGCCACCGCACCCGGCCAATTTTTTGTATTTTTAGTAGGGATGGGGTTTCACCATGTTAGCCAGGATGGTCTCGATCTCCTGACTTCGTGATCTGCCCACCTCGGCCTCCCAAAGTTGTTTTTTTCTCTTTTGAGACAGAGTCTCGCGCTGTCACCCAGGCTGGAGTGCAGTGGCGCTATCTTGGCTCATGGCAACCTCCACCTCCCAGGTTCAAGCGATTCTCCTCCCTCAGCCTCCCGAGTAGCTGAGATTACAGGCGCTCGCCACCCTGCACGGCTAATTTCTGTATTTTTAGTAGAGATGGGGTTTCACCGTGTCATCCAGGCTGGTCTCAAACTCCTGACCTCAGGTGATCTGCCTGCCTCTGCCTCCCAAACTGCTGGCATTACAGGCATAAGCCACCATGCCTGGCTGTAAATAAAGTTTTATTGGCAGCGAGGTACACTCATGAGGTTACCAGTTGTCTGAGGTGGCTTTTGAGGTACAAGACAGAGTTGAGCCATCATGACAGGGACCGTCTGGCCCACAGATCTGAAAATGTTGACTCTGGCCTCAAGGGGTAGCCTGCTGCCCCTGGTCCCAGGTGTGCGATTGCCTGTGTGGTTTTTGTTGTTTGGGGGTTCAGGGTAGCCCCCAGCTGCCATCCCTCCGCCTGTGCGACTCCGTGTGTCTGCTGTTCACATCACCCCTTTTGGGAGTGGCTGGTGGGAGCTGATGTTCTGCTTGCTCTTAACAGAAAGAAATGACCGCCCGTATGTGCCACTAAGAGCCCCGCGGGCCCCCCAGTGCCCGAACCGCCGCTGGGGCCTCAGAGACTTGGAGGAGGATGCTCTGGAACCATCATCACGCTTCTCTCCAGCCTGAGCATCTCAGGGAGCCCAGGGGCTGGGCCGCTGAGCAGGTGTTGGTCCTCAGGAGCTCCAGCCCTGGACGGCAGACGCCTTCCTCACCGTCTCGAGCCTCAGTCTCCCGTCTGGGACCGAACGTGAACTGTGTAATTCTGTGTGTTACTAGCAACCGGAAAAGCCCACTGTGTTTTTTAAACCACTTCCACTTTCCAGGAGGCTGGACAACTTCCAGGGTCACTCCCCGCCGTGGGTGGCTCCCCGGCTCCTGGAACTTCTGCCCCAACCCTCGTCCCCACCTGATCCTGCCTCCACCTCACTGGGGAGCCCCTGGGGCTGCTGTGGCCACAGCCCCGCCTGGGCCTGTCTCTCAAGGGCACCCAGCTTCCTCAGCCTCCTATATGTCTCCTGTTGGGGAGGCAAGAGGCTGAGGGGCTTCCGAGCCCCTGAGGGCGGACATCTCCTGCCACAGGCCTTTACTCTGCGCTCCGCACCGGCAGCCGTTGGTGTCGCTTCACACAGAGGCACGACCTGGACCCGGGCATCCTCTGTCCTCCCTCCCCAATCTCTTTCCATTTTCCTACAGATTTTTTTTTTTTTACAAACTAGAGACAGGGGTCTCGCAGAACTCCTGGCCTCAAGTGATCCTCCCACCTCGGCCTCCCAAAGTGCTTGGATCACAGGTGTGAGCCACCGCACCCAGCCCTCTCTCCTACCCCGTGCACGCTGCTTCCTCAGTTCTTCCGAAACATTCAGCTGAAACATTCAGGGCTTCCTGGACTCCTGGGAGCCCACGTCCTGCACCCCGGCTGCTGACTCATTTCCTAAGGGCCCCTTTGTGTATCATAAAGGGTTTGATTTTTATAGTCACATTTACAACCATCTTGAGATTTTTTTTTTACGTTTTTCTTTTTTTTTTAATGGCGTCTCCCTCTGTCGTCCAGACTAGAGTCCAATGGCACGCTCTCGGCTCACTGCAACCTCCACCTCCTGGGTTCAAGTGATTCTTCTGCCTCAGCCTCCTGAGTAGCTGGGATTACAGGCGCCTGCCACCATGCCCAGCTAATTATTGTATTTTCGTTTATTTGTTTGTTTCTGTTTTTGAGACGCAGTCTCGCCCTGTCGCCCAGGCTGGAGTGCAGTGGTGCAATCTCCACTCACTGTAAGCTCTGCCCCCCGGGTTCACACCATTCTCCTGCCTCAGCCTCCCAAGTAGCTGGGACTACAGGTGTGTGCCACCACGCCCGGCTAATTTTTTGTATTTTTAGTAGAGAAGGGGTTTCACCGTGTTAACCAGGATAGTCTTGATCTCCTGACCTCGTGATCTTCCCGTTTTGGCTGCTGGGATGACAGGTATGAGCCACCACGCCCAGCCTAATTACTGTATTTTTAGTAGAGATGAGGTTTCACCATGTTGGCCAGGCTGGTCTGAAAACTCCTGACTTCAGGTGATCCGCCCACCTTGTCCTCCAAAAGTGCTGGGATGACAGGCATGAGCCACTGCACCCGGCCTAAAGCATTTTTAAATCAGTAACATAGTGAGCCCTCTGCCTCCTCGGCATGGTGTCCTCTTTCCTTCTGACCAGCCCAGGCAGGACTCTCCTGTGCCTGGATGCCTCTCCCCCGCTCTGGAATCTTCCAGTTCTTCTAGAATTGGCCTTTCGCAGATGCTGCAGACTTCCAGTTGAACCCCTTTTTCTGTGTGGCCCCTGGGGCTGCAGGACCAAAATCCATGAGCTCTGTGTCCCCTAGACCCTTGGAAGGTGAGAGCAGGGCACTGAGCAAAGGCAGCCACCTCCTCTCCCTGACTGAACCCCCGCCACCCTACTCCTCACCAGAATTGTCAGTGGCCTTTCACGACGGTGGCCCTTCCCGCCTGAGCCCTGCATTGTCCCAGACCACACAGAAGTCTGGTCACCTCTGGGTGCCTGGGATGGTCACCGAAGAGAAGGACGCTGTCCCCGTCTCTCCTGGCTTCTGCCAGAAAATCGAACAAGTGCAATTAACACTGTCACCGCCGAAGCCTGAAGCTCCCAGGACTCGTCCTTGATCCAGAAACCACTGGGTCCGGCTCTTGGAGCCCCCAGGAGAGGGACCTCCCAGCCGAGCCGTCGAAGGACTCCATGAAACCAGGATCTGCTTGATGGAGTGTATCCCCTTGTACCTGCAAGATGAAGCCCAGACACCCACACCTGTGTCTCCCCCAGGGCTCAGGATGTCCCAGCAGCCCAGCCATGCAGCTTCCCAGGTGGGTTTGGGAGGTGGGAGCAGGGACCATCCCTGTCCCCTTCACCCTCACTCCATCCACCCCAGAGACCACCCTCCCCCAGCCAGATACGGAATAAAACTACAGACGCAGACGTCGGAATAAATGGTGTCGTTTTGGTGCCCATGGCGGCTGGTGCTCACTTCCCTTTTCCTGCCAGTATTAACAGGGTGCCACCACTGCACCCAGCCCAAATTTTTTTTTTTTTTTTTTTTTTTGAGACGGAGTCTAGCTCTGTCACCCAGGCTGGAGTGCAGTGCTGGATCTCAGCTCCACTGC